TTCTGGAACTCCAGCAGCACATCCGACTTCTTGGCGACCGGCCTCACCCACACGAAGCGGGTCTTGCGGTCCTTCAGCAGCAGGAAGTACAGGCTGCCATCCTTGGCAGCCACCCGGAATGGCCCGCACAAGTCGATGTGGACGACGGCTAGCACGTCGGCGGCGTCGGAGCCTTGGTCGGGGAAGGTGTGCCGCGCCAGCTTCCCGCCGACGCACGAGACACACGGTGAGTCGGCGCCCGTCGCCGACTTGAGGTCCAGCCCAATGGCGACCTCGTTCTTTGCCGAGCTCCGGATGGTGTCCATGCCGACGTGCGCAAGCCGAGCGTGCATCCTGTCCGGCGTCGACTTCGTCTTGGAGACGATCGCCCGCAGGGCCACAACCTCCGGCGTGGGCGACGGCGACCTCGTTGAGCAGGGACGCAGGTCGGTGCAGAGGACTCGCCCGGAGTACGTCGCCCGACCAAGCACCTCTCCTGCTGCCGAGACGAGCAGCACCCCGTCGCCGTCCTCCCGAAACTTCACGCCATGCTCCTTCAGCTGGCCGGACGACAACAGGTTGGCCCGCACACCCGGGACGTACAGCACGTCGGGGATGAGAACCTGCTTCCCGGCCTCGCCTTGCAAGGCGACCGTGCCCCGGCCCTGGACGTCTTGCAGCGCCCCATTGAAGCCACGCACGTGCTTCAAGTCGCCGCTCGGCCCCAGGTCGACGAAGGCGTCCTTTGTCCCCATCAGGTGGTGTGAGCAGCCGCTGTCCAGCAGGACGACCGTCGGGTTCGCCTGCACGGCTGCCGCCACCGCCTGGAAGTCCTCTCCGGCCTCCGGTGCCAGCGAGACGGTCGGCTCCACGACCCCGACCAGCGAGCACGACGCCGACTTGTCGTTGCTCCCCTTGCCGCTAGCAGAGGAGTCGGCGTCCTTCGCCGTGGTCGACGTGGTCGACTGCTTCTCCTTGCGCGGCTTCTCCTTTCCTCCACGACGTGGACGACGACTTCCAGATCTCCCACGGCCTCCCTTGTCGTCGTCGTCGGAGTCACTGCGGTCGGGGCACTCAAAGGAGAGATGGTCGGGGCTGTGATAGATACAGCACTCCCGACGTCGACCTCCTCCTCCTCGACTGTCCTTGGTCGACTTCTTCTTGTCGACCTCCTTGGTTGACTTCGAGCCACTGCTACCATTGCCGTCGGACTGTCCGCGCTGCCCCGGTCGACCGCCTTGCTTCGCCGGGGCGACGAAGTTCGCCTGCGCCAGCAGCTCCTGGGACCGCTCTGCCTCCTGCATTGCCTCGTCTTGCAGGATGTACGAGGTTAGGTTGTCCTCGTTGAGCGTCGCCCTCGTGCTCGGCGCCATGGACAGCCGCTTCAACAGGTTGTAGCTGCTCCGGAGTCCCTGCATGACATGGGTGATGTACGACGCCGTCGAATACTCCGCACCGGCCATCCTGATGGTGGCGAGAATTCGCCGGGCCCGGTTGCAGTAGTCGGTCGCTGTCTCCTCGTCGCCCATGCGCAGGTGCGTCAGCTGCCCCTCCAGCTGGGCGATGAACAGGTCGTCGGTGACCTGGTACGTCGACTCAATGAAGTGCCACGCCTGGTGGCCGGCGTCGAGGTACTCCCTGCACCACTTCAGGGCGATCTGCACGCCCGGCGTGCAGCACCGCGAGATGACCGTGAAGGTCAACAGCTGCACGGCGCGGAACTCAGCTCGCAAGTCGGGGTCGTCCGGCGTCTCCACGGTGCCTCGAGCGAAGCTGATCAGCCCGGCCATCTCCAGCTGGGGCTCGATGGCCTCCTTCCAGGTGAGGATGTCTGGTCGACCGACCAGCGGGGGAGTCACCGAGATCCTGTCCGGCGTGAACTTGTAGTAGCCGTAGCTCGGTGCAATTCCGCCCGCCGTCACCTGGGACGCCGCCATCGGCATCAACCCGCTTCGTCGACCTCCGACGTCGCCCTGCGAGGTGCCTGCAGCCGCAGTCGACCGCATCCCTCGTGCCTGAACGCCGCCGACTTCATCGGCGTGAATCACACCACGCAGCCTCGACGACGTGCCTCCCGCACTGCTGCCGACTTGGCCACCACCGGCGTTGACGCCCATGTCGACGCCGCCCTGGGTGTTCGCCGGTCGAGGAGACGCAGGCCGAGAAGGGTGCTCCGTCGCCCACAGGGAACGGATGCCAGCCTCGACGACCGCCCAAGGCAGGTCGCCATACTCGTTGGCCTCGTGCTTCCTCCTCGCGTTTTCCAGCCGTGCCTCCAGGGTGTCCACCACCCCCGTGTCACCTAAGGCTCCTACCATGGTGACTACCACACAGCTGCCAGCCTACGAACAACTTAGGTAAGTGACCTCTACGTCGACCTGACTGAAAGGTAAGTCGGGTGCCGTCCACGCTCACCGCACCATGCGGAGATAACTACTACAACGGGAGCGAGACTACGGGCTAGGCACGGGTGCTCGTGTGATCTCTGCGTTCGTTGGTCCTTAGTCGCTCTCCTAGTGTACACACTACTTGCTTGTTCACAAGGCAATTTGGCAAGAGTTTCACTAGAGAAAGTTGATAACAATGATCCAATGAAGTTGGCTAGACAAGACTACATCAGAGCTAGGATGCAAGCAAGTCGACTGCCAGCGCAGCACGGTCGACCGCGCGCCAGCACGACTTGGTCGACCGCGCTCCAGCAGCGCAGAGTCGCGGCTTGCCAACACTGCAGGTCGACGGCGTGCCAACGTCGCAGGTTGACGGCGCGCCAACGTTGCTCCCGCAGGACAGCAGCGCACCTACTTCGCAGGTGCTCGCAGACGATTGGCGTGCAGTGCCTCGTCACCTGCACAACGCACACACCATATCAACTTCGTGCTGACGACTGCTCCTGATGCACCACGTCGACCTCGGGATACCATCACCGAGGTCGTCCTCGCCAAAACCACCTGGGCGACCATCGCAAGCCTTCGCAGCACCTCGTCACCCAGGTAACCTGGTCGACCGGGCAACCAGGTCGACCAGAGGCTCCAGTGCGTGCCCGTCGACCACCCAGGTCGACGACCACTTCCGGTCGACCTCCCAGGTCGACCACTGCCTCTGGTGCGTGCCGGTCGACCTCCCAAGTCGACGGCCTCATCCAGTCGACCTCCTCAGGTCGACCACTATCCCCAGGTCGACCAGCTCCAAGTTGACGTCACTCCTGGTCGACCAGAGGGTCTGGTCGACTTACCAGGTCGACCAGAAGGTCTGGTCGACGTCCCAGGTCGACCAGAAGGGCTGGTCGACGTCCCAGGTCGACCAGAAGGGCTGGTCGACGTCCCAGGTCGACCAGAAGGGCTGGTCGACTTCCCAGGTCGACCACCCGAAGTTGGCGCTTATGCAGTGGCTCCCCGTGCAGGTCGACCAACCTCGTCGACCAACTCGCCCACTGCTGCAGGTCGGCTGCACCCTACACCCGACCACGAAGTCGGCTCCGCCCAAGCGAGGACGGGGCCAACATACAACTCCCGTTGACACCCCCCTCTCTCCCCACCATTTGTTTTGTTGGCTGCCTGCGAATTTAATGGCTGCCTGCCCGGCGTCAAAATTGCGTCAAGCATCCAGACGCTAGAATTTTTATGCTGGCATCAATGACGCCTGATGTGTCAAATCCAGCTTGTCAGGCCGATTCGATGGGAGCCACAAGTCCGCCTGACCTGCCCATGGCTGGCTTGAGCACCTAACAGCTCTTCACAGGCTCATGAGGCACCTACAATTTTCTCCAATTCTCACTGCACCGTCTCAACAAATAGGAGTTGGAGTTGAGAAACGGCTCCAACTTCGACAAAACGAGGGTCATACATATGACTAGCGTGGCTCCAGCATCATGGGTTTCTGTTGTGGGGATGCTTAGAGGTTGTGAGCTTCTCGGGTTCGTTCGTTGCATGTTTATCTGCACGGAGTGGGCCAACATTGTTCAACCAGCTCTGGGCCCGGGTCAGTTTCTCATGGGCCAGCTCATAACAAGAATATGGCACTCTTCGTGATGGGTCGACCAGACCCAACCTGTGCATTAGAAACATAGTCGGTCAACACCCCCTTCCTCAATTTCATGGACAAGAGGGATTTTCAAGCATTTAGTGCTCATTGTTCATACGTCCCTTCAACTTCCAACTCCTCTATCTGGTATCAGCAATCGTCTAGTGCCGATGCTCGACACCTTAGACAGGCCGACATATTTTGAACCTTGACGGGTTCGCCAGGCCAAATTGTGCATGTAACATAAGTGCTAACTAACACAAAATGCAACACTGAAAGGTCCAAATAGTGATCGTACGGATCACGCACGCACGCGTGCCGTAGGTACGGGCAAAGTAGCAGCGTATCTCACAAATCCTTGCTACATATGTTAATGTCCGAGGGAGGTGCTTGCCCTCGTTTGACGACCCCTGCGCGGATGCGACAATGCGCGCACGGAGGTAAGGAAAATTCTTGCGATGCGGCGAGGTGGCGTGCGCCTTGCTTTGGGAAGCGACTTTCTGGTGCCTATATAACGTAACATCTTTACACTGTATACGTTCTTCTCTTTTCCGATTCTGCATTTATGGAGGTAGTTAATAAGATTTGGAGAGGTAAATATTGATATGACTTGATCTCAACTACTACATCTGAAATGGTAGAGGCGATATTTGTCAACCCACCAAAAAACGCGGGGGTTGGTGTGGAATTGCTTAAACTCGTGCCAGGCCTAAGCGACCCATTTAATAAAACCGACCCAATTTCGGATCAAGTCGACCCATTATAAAATGGCCCTTTCAGGTATCAGGTCGACCCGACCGGGCCGGTCGGCAGGATTAGCTATGCATACCTGACCCGTCCTAAAGTTGGGTCCAACTGGGTCGATGCCCATGCCCGGACTCATGGAACCCCTCGCATATGCCTCGTAGCCATGGTTTGACCATATCTATTTATAATCGTCGGTTTTCTTGCTGTATTCAGTATTCATTCCACCCATAACACCCTTCTCGTTTTACCGTCAGGGATCTTGGCAATAATACTCTAAGTGGGTCTATTCCATCCATCATCGGCAACGTGAGCAACCTCGTTACATTGTGAGTAGAGCATGGGATCAAGAAAGAAATTTGAGTATCAGCCTTTGCATTAGGCGTTAGCAAAGGTGCAGTTGTAGTACGAAACTATTCTAAAAGATCCCACTGTTAAAGCGACGGTATACATTTCACCGCAGTTTCTTGCATGAAGTACCTGGTTGGTGTTGGTAGCTCATAAGATAACGTTGTATTTCTGTTGGATGTAGATGTTGTGATAACATGTTGGAATGTTGGCCTTTGCGTAATCTATTTGTACTACTCTCTCCCTTTAAACTACTTACGTCTTTGTTTCCTTGGATGGGACCCCTCACGAGTGTGCACCATCAGGTCTCTATTCTCTAACATCTTGAGTGGGTCTATTCCTTCCACCTTCGGCTACATGAGCAGGCTTACATACCTGTCAGTGTCAAAGAATTTTATTGATATTTTACCTTTGTGTTGGATGGTGGTGCTTCGTTCCTTCTGGATTGAGTATAAAAGTACACACTAGGCATGAGCAAGAAGAGCTAGCTGGAGTCGGGTCATCAATTACCATCAGTAGTAAAGGGCCAGCTTCAGACGAAGTATATCGGAGGTCCATCACATGGTGACAGAATCACCTGCAGAGCGAATGTGTTTGAGTGAAACACCTGCAGAGCATATTGTGTGGGGTCGAACCAAACATGTTGCTCGACTTGAACGGATTCTTGGAGACAAGTGTCTGAGCGCTTGTTGATTACCATGGTCGAGCACATGCATGTTCGACTTGAACACTTGCACACTTGATTCGAACTTGTCTGTGCTTGGTTCGATGTACAACATTCATCATAATCACGCCGCTGTTCGTGCGACCTTTGTTTTTACTACTATTCACTCAACTACTTATTCTATCTCTCTCTACCCTAAAATGGAACCCTTCATGGGTATGTATCACCAGGTCTCTAGCCTACAACAATTTGACTGGACCTATTCCATCCACCATCGGTTACATGAGCAGCCTTACGTATCTGTCAGTATCAAGAGAATTTGATTGACATTTCACCTTTGGGCTGGAATCCGGCCGCTGGATGGCTGTTCTGCATTCTATTAAACTATAGCCAAAACCGGTTTCTAGTTTAAGTATAAAAGTGCATCAGCTTGGTATGAGCCAGGCCAGCCGGAGTCGGGACATCAAGGCCCATCAGTGGTGAAGGGTCTGTTCCACACCAAGTCTACTGGAGGTCCATCACATGATTACAGGAAAAAGCTGCCTCTCCGTGCGAATCTGGGTCCTCCCCATCATTTCTGAGACAATGAGCGTTTTGCTTGCCATAATCATATGTATTCGGCTTCAACATGCCAGTATAAGGTCGTGAAATGGCAGGAACTCCCAACAGCAAACCAGCAGTGTTTTGATATCTGGATGGGCAAAACCGAACATGAACGTGTTCGAGTCAAACGCCGGTCGAATACACTGGGGCCGAACCGAACATGTTTGGTTTGTCTGAAACAAATTCTTGAAGACAAGTCTCAAAGTTTTCGACAACCATGGTCAAAACACATGCACATTCGACCCATACACTTCCATGTTGGATTCGAACATTCATGTTCGGTTCAAGTACAACTTTCGTTGTGTTCACCTTGCTGATCGTGTGACTTTCCAATAGGGGAGGATGGCGGCATATGAGTTCCAACTTCACCACATAAACGTATCTATAAATAACCAGTAACCAAAGGCTTTGAGTAGGCAATTGCAGCGAATACAGTTGTGTTCGTTGCAGCCAATGTCGCGTTGTTCTTGGCTCAGCCGTCTATGACAAACCGAACTCGAACATGGTCAACCGGAACATGAAGGGCCAAATAAAGAAAAACAGTTCGGTTTGCCTCGGGTCCTTTGCTGAAGCCTAACACTAGCATTGTGCCTAACTCGGTTTCTCTATATCCTTTTTCGTTGTTACTGAATTCGTACGTATTTGAATGTTTTGTGTAAGGCTCATAATAGCGCCTGTTGTCTACATTTGTTTTCAAATTTTGGAAAACCTGATTCTTGCAACAGTTTGTTATATATAAAACCTTTTTGCAGATTGTTTATGTTGTGCTCGCATTTAGGCACCAGTAGGAGTAGCATCTTGGAGGATCCCGTCAGATTACAGCGTGCCATCATTTCTTCGGTCATTTACTCATCCCTATCCTACCATTTGGTTCATTCATTTCTTATTTATGTATCAATCTCATGGCACCCTTTACATGTGCTTGATATCAACAGCTACACCATATCGGTTATGTGTCCATGAGTAATAGTGAAATGTTCTTGCTGTACTCACTATTTCTTTCCACCCATGACACCCTACCCTTTTGCATGTTGTACCAACAGGTTTCTTGACAACAACAGACTGAGTGGGTCTATTCCATCCGCCATCGAGAGCATGGGCAACCTCGTTAGATTGTGGGTATCATCAATGAATAAGAAGAAGAGCCTACCTGGCCTCATCAAAGTTTAGAAGAGGGCCTGAGCAAGTCAGCTTGATTTAAGAATGGCCATACACGCTAGGCATTAGTAAGAAGCCAGGCCGGTGGGCTAACCCAGGCCATTGACTCAGGAGCCAGCCTGGGCTGGAGCCTGTGATGAGTCAAGTTGAGGTCATCCACTAGTCTGAACAAAGCTGAACGAAGCTCCTGTGTACCACGGTCTGCCGCCACCAATCTCCCAACCAAGTCTACGACATTGAGCATCTTGATTGCCAAAATTGCAAGACTATGTCTTCGAGCATTTCCGCCTTGCGCTGTGACATGGCAAACATGGTAAATGACTTCCTTGCAGCAAATCAGCCGTGGCCTGATGCCCCCCCGTTAGGTAAAAAGGTTGGCCGTGGTCTGGCCGTTAACTCCTTTCTGTCAGAACTTAGGCTTAGAACTGATACATTAGTAGTGAGCTCAAAGCTCTTTAAGTACATCAGGAATGAGCAAGGTATGGATGAGAGGGGAATCAGGGGGTAATCCTAGGGAATCAAGAGTAATCCCAAGGCAAGCTCCAATTGGTGGGTTGGAGATTGCTTGGAGATTACATTTGGGTTTGGTTGGGATGTGGGTGTACACCCAACCAAACACAAAGTGCAAACTACACTAAACTAAACTAGGATATAAAAGTACAAGTACAAATTGTGAGATTGAGGGCTAACACCAACACTTTCTAATGCACCCGTGCTAGCCCTTGCCTGACCATATGCTTGTGTCTCACTCCTGCACAATCATGGTCAGAATGTGGTTTCTCAAAACCGTACATGTCCTACCTTTGGTAACAACTATGGGAGAACCACATCAACTTTTGGATTTAGTGAGCGCAAGAGCTGAACCTAAGCCAGTTTGGTTTATGCCCCCATGGCCGGACATGGCTACTGGAACAGGATCGTGAGGCTTTGGGCTAGGTGCTCTTCTTACTTTGAAAGCCATGGCCCTTTCTTTTGAGTTGGGCTGAGCTTGGTCCGCAACGTGATGAGTGGTCCAACTTTGCCTCGATCAGCATTTGCCACCATCAGAAATGCCCTCAGGGAGGCATGGAAGACTTTTTAGAAAAAGAAAAGTAGGCACGAGAGTAACTCCAAGACAAGCCAACATCCAAGCTGCAATAAGCTGGTGGGAGCCGACCCGGCTGCTGAACACTTGGTGGGAATATACGCTCAAAACTGTTTGCGTTTAGCGTATACACGCTAGCATGTATACGCGAAACGCTATAAAATAGCGAAATACGCTATACGCTCGCCAATATTTTTTTGGGACAGCCCGGCTGGAAAATTTCAACCTATACGGTTCACTTCGGAATTGCACGACGAAGACATTGGCGGGGTCAGGTGGCACGTCCTCGCTGTGTGCTAGCATGGACGTTGGTTGAAAGTTCGTGTAGCGAATAGAAAGTCACGTTTATCGAGTCGCGCCTGCACGTTCCCTCACATTTTGGTGTTCACACTCAGTACCGCATTCAAACCCTTCGCAACCAACAGCTCTCCTACTTCTCTTGCCCGTCTTCCCACTCCCACAATCAACTCGCTATTAAACACCCACATCCCCAACATCCACTCGCTATTAAACACCCACATCCCCAACATCCAACTCATTAGTTCTTCTCCCGCTACAAGCAGAGCACTGGGCATTCCCTAGCGCATGGTGCCTATGTCGACTACTACTATCTCCTCTCCAACGCCACAGTCAGTTCACACCGTTGGCAGTTCGCAAACTCTTCTAACAGAGGCACGAGAGTATCTCCCCGACGTTGACCATGCCGTCTTCAAGCACTTCCACATCATCAAGAGGGTCGAGGGAAAAGCTCAGCAGTACGAGTGCAAGTTCCGCAACAACGTCTTCACTGGTGCTGCCATCCGATGCGCGCAACACTTCACTTCGTGGAAGGGGATGAAACGCCGTGAAGTGGCGTTTTGCAAGGATGCGACGCAAGATGTGTGTCTGGCCATGCGCATGAAGTACGAGGCGAAGGCTGCCGCGGCCGAAGAAAAGAGGCGGGCTGCAGCTGAAGCGGTTGCCGAGGTGAAGGCTAACGGTGGGAAGCGGACGCGCATCACAGATTACCTGGAGGGGGATGCGGCTGCTAGAAAGAAAGAAGCGGACGAGTCACTTGCGCTTGCTTGGGCCGCCCTCCACATCCCCGAGCGCCACATTGACCATCCTCTGATGGTCAATGCATTGAACCTCGTCTCGCGCGCCAGCGTCGACTACGTCCGTTCCAAGAGGAAATACGTTGGCGGTGCTGGCCTTGTCGCGCGTCGCAACGGAATCGAACCAGGCACAGCAACCGGAGGAGACTCGGTAGTGAGGGTGTACAGGCTCGACCCCGGCCGACGGGTAAACGTGGCCAAGTGTCGGCCCGTGTCTGCACACGTGCAGTGGGTCACCCGCTGACGCGCAGGGGTGAACTGGTCAACCCCCCCATCCTGTAGGTCAGCACCCGCCACCAAGTTCGTAGAGAACGAGGGGAGGTAAAGACCCGACAGGGAGCCAGACGGGACCGCTGGACACGGTAGTACAGTGGAGTAGTGGGCAAGAACAGGACCCCCAGAGGGGTCTGCCAGGGAGACCGCAACCGGCCGACTGAGCGGCGTGAGAGTGGTGCGGTCTCGAAAGAAGGAGCGGGAAGCACCCGAGTCAAGGGTGAAAGTGTGCGACGCCGGAGCAGACGTGGTACCTGAGAGAGCAGACTCACCAGCACCTGGAGCAGCAGACTCACTAGCACCTGGAGCAGCAGACTCACTAGCACCTAGAGCAGCAGCTGCACCGCCCGGGTCGGGCGGAGCACTCAGGGAACAGTCACCGACATCACTAGTAGACAATGCATACATGGCAGTGAGGATAGCATCAAAGTCAAGAGCATAGATATCTACCCTCTGCCGGAGCAGCTCCACCCAGTCGGGGAGCTCAGCCGCGTCGCCAAACTCCGTACGCCAGGCGTCGCTCAGACTGGCGAAGCAGCGGGACTCTGTGTGACCAAACGTCCCGCAAGGCTGGCCAGTCCGAGCACCAGTGCGAATGACATACGGGCAGCGAGCAGAACCCCGTGACCCCCCCCGCTGAAAGTACCACTCATGAAGCTGCGGGGGCGAAGGGACCGCGCGCACACGACGCTGCAGCTGCACCTGGCCACTACAAGAAGCCCCGAAACTACTCACGCCAGAACGACTCCCACGACGGCCACCCCGACAACCCCAACGAGCGTACCACTCATGAAGCTGTGGGGGCGTGAGGGACTCACGCGGACGGCGCTGGAGCTGCATCTGGCCACGCCAGGAGCAGCAGTAGCAGTAGAAAGGGGAGGAGCCGTAGGAGCAGCACGAGCAGCAGTAGCAGGACAGTGCTCACCAGTGGCAAGAAGGGCCGGCGTACAACGGCGGCAACGGCGAGGCCGGCACCACTGTAGGGCGAGGGCTCCGCGGCAGCTGCAGGGGGCGGCTCCAGGGGCCAGGGGCGGCTGCTGCAGGGGCGGCTGCTCCAGGGGCGGCTGCTGCAGGGGCCAGGGGGCAGCTG